ATTAAAATGCAATAAAAATTAAAATTTTAAAAAAAAATGCTCAGAGCCCCATTTTCCTAGCAAACCTCCCATATGATAATACTCACATAATTCATCATATTTGTATTTTACTTATACGCATAACAAGAATTGATACAATATTTACCCACATAGGCTCTATTAGAAAAATTGATTGTAATATTTGTTTGACTTAAAATAGACTGACATTATCACTATTAACTGCTATTATAGTTTGTCGAAATGTATCGTCCGTTAAATTATAACAACACTTAACTCAGAATAATCAACAAGGATAAATGATTCACTTCTAGAACTAGTAATAATATCTGAAAGACTTAAAATCGAAGCTGTTTCAGAACTGGAATTAGAAATAGAGTCTGCGACTAATAGATTTTTATTGTCTTGTTTATGATATCTAATTCTAGTAGACTTTGAAATAAACAATCTAATCCCTCTCTTTGTATCTTTGTGGCAACATTTTGAACAGGTACAAAAAACTTTATTGGATTTATCCATATTGAAAAAAAGAAATGTTTAATAAAAATATATTAATCTGATTAAATTATTTCATGTAACTTTATTATGATTGTAAATTTTAGTAAAAATTATTTTTTATTTAAAAAAATCGCTTTAAACAAATAAATTCACATTGTTAGTCCAGAGCATTAATGAAGGATAATATATGTCTATGCACTGTATCCTATTATCTTCTCGCTTCTTATATCATGAGAAGTTACACAGTTACACTAGTTTCTAAATAAATTAGGTAAATATTTATCCTAATAAAAGTCATATTTAATATCTAAAATAATCTTTCAAAAAGAAAATAATATAAAAAAATGTTATTTTATTACAATTTCGTGTTCTTTCTTTGTCAAATGGATTAATTTATCAATTATTATTATTATTTAGAATAAATAAAAAGAAATATAAACATAAACAATATAAACGTAACCCTTTTATTCATCTGAATTAATTTTTTGTTATTATTGAAGTGTTGTTGATATAAATTTATTGTTTATTTTCAAGGTATCATAAAAGAGGACGCTCTTTCTCAACCTTTATTTTCTGTAATCTTCTACAATTCTTAATACGTATAAGTCTCTCGAAAGTGAATTGCTTAAAGTAAATATCATTTAATAAATGAACTTGTGATACTACAATGAATGAAAGACCCGCCGCAAATTCTTTGCTTCTGATATCTATTTTAGCCTTTGACAGTGTGAGTCCCTGACTCCTATGCATGGTAATTGCCTATGCTAGACAAACTGGTACCTAAAGTCGAGAATATAACATCCCTGATTTACCTTCTCAAGTTCGTTTAATTGATACGATTGGAACAATATTGACTCCTTCAAATGTTATGATAGTAAGTCTTTCGTAATGATCAAACTTAATGAAAACTACTGTAAAAAGAGAAGGTGATCCCTGTTTCTCAAATAGAATATCTTTTACAATACCTATTGAGCTATTAATTAATCCAATTTCAGTCTATAGATTTACCGTTAGCATGAAACGTGCACCATTTGCCAATAACAATTGAGATTCAAGTCCTTTCGCCACGTCAGAATTGGTCTTTTTGGCCTCATTTCCTCTAGTATGCATTGCAAGAATTTTGGTTACTGGTCTATCCAAAGATCAAAGCATATCAATATTAACTTTATTCAAATCAGACCACATTATTAGTATGAATATAGCATCCAAAAATCATTTACGTTCGACTTGAAGTTTTTCTTCTAATCATGTGCAGAGCCATTTTCAATCATCTAGATTGCTTAAGTCAGATTTACCTAATTTAAAAATCTGCAATTGATCATTTTTTAATTACACTTATAATCACATGTAATTTGTGAGAAGCTCTGGACTTAACAATGATTCCCGTTTTCTTAGTTTAATTAAAATAGCTAAATACATAATCAACATCATTGATTTTGAAAAATTATATGATTGATATAATTAACAATTAAGTTTTAACCGGAAATAGATTTTATTTGTAATACAACTAAAAAAGAGTTAAAATAAACTTAAATATTCATTATTTATAAACTTTTTTTAATCACCTTTCAATTTTTAAATTTTTTAAATTCATTAACAAAAATTATAAACATGACAAAGTGTAGAAAAAGTTTTAATTCTATTACTCATAAACCTAAAAGTTCTACCAAAGAATATAATTCAGTCTCCTAAAAGTCTGTCGACAAATGTAACTATAATTTCAGCCTTGAAAAATCTAATAATAATAATGATATACAAACAGGAGTGAATGAAAAAATCTTGGCATTGATTCTAGCTTACATTGTTACGTTCGATTTGTAACTCAAATAAAATTCATAAAAATTAATAATGCTAAGACTAAACTTAGGAAATCACAATGAAGATTCTTATTAAATATCAAAGATTATTCTCAATTAAACACGAATAACTTCTGAATATTTCAGAGATCACGTTTCAGTGATTACATCTTAAGTCAATACAACGAATCAATACAATACCACCCAAAGTTAATAAATAATAATAATATATACACAGGTAAAAGGGGTTGCGAAGGATAAGTTTTAACTTGGTTAATTATACTCTTTATTAATAA